TTTCCAATTGTAACATTTTACAACTCTAGGTTAGATGAATTTGATTTTATTTATTAACCTAACCATGTGCCTCTAAGTTATTCATCTTTTTACCTTAACTTAGTTAAGTTCAACCCGGGGCGTACTCAGTATCCATTGTTACGGATTTCGCGTCATACCAATGTAAACCAGGCGTCCCGCTTTGGCGTGTCCGTTGACTGGTCGAAACTGGTATCGACAAGTGAGTCGGCGTTGGAAGGCACAAACTTAGATTTTAAACGTGATTTCACCTATGGCATGTGTCGCGCACATACACTAGCGAATATCATACAAACATATATACAAACATGTATAATGAATAAAACGTGACATGGTTGTGGCCTCCTAAAGAACTAACGATAAAGCCTTCACTTGAGATCTCCATCTCCAGCTTCACCTTCTTTCTTTAAGAATGCTTTTAGTCTTCAAGTTCAGCCCTTCTTGCTAAGGTCCTCTTCTTCTTGGCTCCTACATCATCCTTGCTTCTTCATGGATTTCTTTGTTTAATCGAGAGAAAAGAATCCTTGCTTTTTAAGCAAGGGGTATGAGGTTTAAGAAGAGATTTACAACCAGAATTTAGAATTGAGGCACGACACGCAGGCCGTATTTAAAAACCAAACATTCTAAGCCACAACCATGAACCATGCATACATTCATACATCCCATGCATAAAAACCATACACCGGGCAAGCCGCGCTCGCCCTAGACCTAGTTTATTCTAAGAAAAATAAACTACAAGCCTAAAAATTATCAAATAATTTTATTTATCTTTATTTTAAAACTCCAGAATATCCAAAATTTAATTTTGAATTTTCCTGAATTTTAAAATAGTTAATTGCCGTAAATATAGGTATTAATTTCGAAATTGGGATTTTAATTCGAAATAAATACTTATACCTTTTGAAAATTAATAAACAAATTCCAGAATGTGTATTCTGATTTTATAAGTCTGAAAATAAAATTTCCAGAATTTATAAAATTTATTTTCGAAATTCTATATTTAAATACCCAAAATCGGACTTCAATTTTCCAAAAATTAATTCCGAGTTTCAAAAAATTAATATTTTCCAAAAATATTCACTTTGGGTCCGTGTTGTTCTAAAAATCAAATTTCCAGAATTAAATAAATTTTATTTTCGGTATTTTGGAATTTGTTTCCAAAAGGAGTTAAATTAATTTCCAAAATTAATTTAGAATATTCCAAGTATTCCAAAAATAAATATTTTCAAAAAATAAATTTTTTGACTCATGTACAATCTGAAAACAATATTTTCCAGATTTTACTTAAATTTATTTTCGGTACTTTCTATTTATTATTTGGCAATCCATAAAACAATTTCCAAAATTATTTTTCGTGTACCATAATTGTTCCAAAAATCATTATTCTCAGACAATTATGATATTATTGCCAAATATTAAATTTCCATAATTTAAAATTAATTATTTAATTTTCGGGAATTAAATACGGAATTACCAAAACTATTTTTCCCAAAAATTAATAATTAAATACTTAAATTACGAATTTAATTCTAAAAACTTTTATGACCTCTGAAAATCATATTCTCAAGTTCATAAAATTATAATCCCGAATTTTAATTGTCCTTTTCGGTTTAATCTATATTATTACCGAATAAGATTATTTAAATCGGGAAAAATAGAGAATCAAAACTGAAAATATATTTTAATTTTCCAGAGTACTTAAAATCATATTTTAACATCCTAGAATTATTAAAAATTATTTTTCATAATTTATTTTTTATTTATCTTGTAATTAATCAAATTAACTACAAATCAACTAATACCTTATAAATTAGAAAATAAATGCCTAAAATTAATTTTAAATTTCCAGAGCTCTTAAAATCATATTTTAAAGTCTCAGAATGATTAAAATTATTTTTCCATAATTTATTTTGTATTTATTTTGTAATTAATCAAATTAACTACAAATCAAACAATACTTTATAAATTAGGAAATCAATTCCGAAAATTAATTTTAAAAATCCAGAAGTCTTTAAATCATATTTTAAAGTCTCAGATTTAACAAAATTTAATTTTCGATATTTCGAAATATTTTATTTGGTTAAAACAGTTTTTAACCCATTAACCCGAAAAATAAAATAAATCCACAATTAAATTCAAAAATCATATTTTCGAATTTTATAAAGTCCAGAATCATATTTTGGCACTTTCTTGAATTTTGGATAATTTTCGAAAATATATACACATATATTTTATTTTATCAATTATCAAAAACCCTAACGGCAATGATATCTACAAAACTTATAATTCTCATAAGTCAGCTCCGATACCACTGTTGGGTTCTACGCTTGGATAGGGCAGTGGAAAACAAAAATTTCAGTGTCCAAACGTAGATCCACCCAGGACCTCTTATGATTATTATTATAAGTTATTGTTTAGAAATATACCTTTTTTGGTGAGCAAGCAACAATATGTGTAGGTTGATGGATTGATCCAAGAGCTAGCCACAAAAGTATATGACCTCCAGTTGAGACACACAAACAAGGAAGAGCGTTCTAGAGAAAATTATGCTAGTAATTTTACTCTAGAATATTTCTAAAATATAAAATATTTGGTGTAAAGTATTAAGAGAACAAAACAAATTTCTCTCTGTTAAAACTATGGTATGGCCGAAATTCTTGTGTGTTCTAAAAGGGGTGGGATGATCTCCTATTTATAAGGAGCATAATCCTCATTCCTATTCCTAATAGGAATGTACCTTTTTAGAGTTTAGGAAGGAAATCAAATCCCATTCCTATTATACTTAGGAAATTTCGAATCTCACTTTAAGGAAGCTTCCAATTTATTTTGTCCACTTTAATTATCATATAATTAACACAAAATAAATAATATAACATTTATTTTATGTATATCTGAAATATACATAAACATATATATACGGCGATATATATATATATATATATATATATATATATATATATATATATATATATATATATATATATATATATATATATATATATATATATATATATATATATATATATATATATATATATATATATATATATATATATATATATATATATATATACTCCCTCCGTCCTAAAACCATCTTCTCACTTCCCTTTTTTCTCTGTCCTAAAACAATCTTCCCACTTCTTAAAAAAGAGTATGAATTGTCTATTTTACCCCTCTCTCCACTATCTCAACCTCCCTCTCATCTTCCGTGTCTTTCCTCCCCCTCCCCTCAAAATTAGATCTAATGTTTTTCTCTCTCTATCTTGAGATCTAGATGTAATAGTTTCTCTTCCTCCAACATAGATCTCATCTTCGCTCCATCATCGCCGATCAGATCGCCCTTAGAAGGGAAGCCATGCCGCTGAAAAAGATGGATCCGTGTGTTTTAGATCGCAACAGTCGCCACCCACAGCGAGACTGCGGCCACCGTCGCCACTCCAATGTCGCGACGGCACCACTCCACCGTCGCGGTCGCCACTCCACCGTCGCCGTCGCCACTCCGTTTCAAATTCAGCAAAGATGCAGCAAATCCCCCAAATCTGCCTTTTCTCTTGTGTCAAACTCTTCCTCTTCCTTTTTGAAGATGTTTTTTTCTCGAATTCTTCATCTTGTAGCAATTTTGATTTTTTATTTTGTTTTAGAACCTAATGTTGATTCAAGAATCATGCCTCTGTGTATTGAAAGAAGAACACACCAAGAAAGAAGGCAATTGGTTTTTGTTTAGTTTAAGTCCAGTGTCGAGAGGGAGAAAGAAGATTTAGGGGGCATTTTGGGAAAGTCAACTTAATTTTTACACTCTCTTAAAAACCACCTCCGGTCAAACCGGGAAGTTGGTTTTAGGACGGAGGGAGTATATATATATATATATATATATATATATATATATATATATATATATATATATATACACACACACACACACACACACACACACACA